CTGGCCCCAGCCTCTGGGCAGGGTGTGCAGGGACGCCCGCACCTTCGGGGTTTGGCACTTCCTGGTCAAGGCAGTGTGCACGCAGACCCCCCACCCAGGGACGCCCAGGGCCTCCCCCACCGGGTGCTGGGGCTGGGGGACCTGGCGGGGCAGAAGGCCAATAGAGAGCTGGTCCCACTGAGCACATCCCTGCAGAAGGAACAACACCTGGACCCTGAGCGCCCTGCCCAGGGCTGGCCCTGGAGGCAGGACAGGGACTCCGCCCCCTCGGGCCAGGAGGGGACCGGGCTTGGCCCCTGGGGGCTGACCCAGCTGCAGGAAGGGCTGTGCAGGGTGAGGAATCCCGCAGAGGAAGTGACACCACTGTCCAGCTGAGACCCTGGTGTGAGACTGAGCACGGACCGGCGGGCAGGAGGGCAGGCCATCTGGGCGGCAGCCAGGCCACAGTGCTCACACCCATCCTGGCCCCGGCTGCAGGCGCTGGGCGAGGCCAGGAGGGGAGATGGCCGCCCCCTGTGAGCGACGACCCTGGAGGACCCTCCTGTCCGAGGAGCAGACGGTCTGGGCTGAACGTGCTCAGCTCCAGGAACAGGAGCAGGTGGGCCGCGAAGTTTCAATCGCACTGTACGTGCGCGCCCACACGTGGTATTTTGTGGAAGAGCCACACTCAAGGGGCCAAAGAGCCGCATGTGGCTTGTGAGCCGCAGTTTGCCCACCACGGCTCTAGGGTGAGGGGACCAAATGGGACAAAAACCCGATGCCCCCGACGTGAAGCCCAGGAGCGTGCCAACCCGAGAGGCGGTGGCGAACTCACCACAACCCAAGACGGCACCGAGAGCCACACACGGCTCCAAGGGGGCGCAGGGCTGCCCCGGCTCCGAGGGACCCTGGCAGGCTGACCCTGTCCGCACACCCTGCGGCCTAGGAGCCCTGCGGCCAGGCCTCTCATAGGCCGGGTCAGACGCCAGGCAGGGACAGTCACTCCCTGGCTCTCCGGACACCTACACATCTAATTAATGCCTAATTACTAATTAAAACCCAAACAAAGGGTCCCAGACCACAGCTTTCCCTCTCACTGCCACTCAGTGCTGACGGGGTGTTGGGAGTGCCTTCAGGAGCCA